GTTAGCATTTTTTAGCAATGAAGTATTTTAAAACTAAGGTATGTACGTTGTTTTTATAGACATAATGCTATTGCACACTTAATAGACTATAGTATAGTGTAAGCATAACTTTTATATGCACTAAGAAACCAAAAAATTGGTGTCACTCACTTTATTGCAATATTCACTTTATTGTGGTGGTCCGGAATGAAACCCGCAATATCTATGAGGTATACCTATAGATAAATCAAAATTGAATTCTAAAAAACGTTCACATAACCCAAAGGAAGGGAGGAAAAGAAAACAAAGAAGTGAACACAGAACAAACAGAAAACAAAAAATTAAGGGTCACACTTAAGCCCTAACATGTTGATAATTACTTTAAATGTAAATGATCTACATACACCAGTTAAAAGTCAAAGATTCGTAGCGTAGATGAAAAAACATGGCCCAACTATATGCTATCTACAAAAAACTCACTTCAAATATAATGATATTGGGAGACTGAAAGTAAAAGGATAGAAAAATATATATCATTCAAATATTAATAAAGAAAAGGGAGTGCTTATATTAATATCAAATAAAGATGTTAGAGCAAAGAAAATTACTGGAGACAGAGGGGGCATTACATAATGATAAAAGGGTGAATCCACCAAAAAGACAAAGCAATCCTAAATGTGTGAGATTTGCAACAGAGTTGCCAAATATGTGAAGCAAAACCTGATAGAACTGAAAGGAGAAATAGAAAAAGCTAGAATTACAGTTAGAGACTTCAACACACCTCTCTGAACAATAAATAGAAGATTCTGACAGAAAATCAGGAAGGATATAGAAGTCAACAATACTATCAACCAATGGAATCTAAACAACATGTATAGAACACATCACCCAACCATAACAGAAAATACTTTCTTTTCAAGTGCCCATGGAACATATGCCAAGATAGAACATACCCTGGGCCATAAACAATACCCCCAAATTTAAACAAATCGAAATCATAAAGAATGTGTTATCCAACCACAAATGAATCAAAGTAGAAACCAATAACAGAAAGATAGGAAAATCTGCAAACACTTGGAAACTAATAATTCACTTCTAAATAATCCATGAGCCAAATAGTCTCAAGGGAACCCAAAAATACATTGAATGAGAATGAAAATAAAATATATCAAAACATGTGAGATACAATTAAAGTAACACTGAGAAGGAGATTTATGGCACTAAACGTACACATTAGAAAAAAGAGGAAAAGCCCGAAATGAATCCTCTAAGCTCCCACCTAAAAGAATAGTAACGTACACCCAAAGCAAGCAGAGAGAAGGAAAACTGACAGCAAAAATCAATGAAATTGAGAACAGAAAAGCAATAGGGAAAATCAATGAAACTATGAGCTGGTTCTTTGAAAAGATCAATAAAACTGACAAATCTCTGGCAAGACTGACAAAGAGTAAATAACGTAAGAGAGAAGGCACAAATTACTAATATCAGGAATAAAGCAGGGAATATCACTACAGATCCTGCACACATGAAACCATAATAATGGAATACTAAAAACAACTCCACACACATAAATTTGATTACTTAGATGAAACCGACCAATGCCTCAAAAAACACAAACTACCAAAATCCAACTGATATGAGATACATAATTTGATTAGCCCCACAACTATTAAGGAAAACAATTTTGTAATTTTAATGCTCCCCCAACAGCAATCTTTTGGCCCAGATGTTTTCACTGAAGAATCCCACCAAACACTGAAAGAATTAACACTGTTACATAATCTCTTCTAGAAAAACAGAAGAGGAAGGAACACTTCCAAATTCATTTTATGAAGCTAGTATTACCCTAATATCAAAACCAAGCAAAACAGTACTGAAAGAGAAACCTACAGGCAAATATCTCTCATGAAGGTAGATTTTTAAATCCCTAATAAAATATTAGCAAATAGAATTGAGCAATGTATATAAAGAATTGTAAACCATGACCAAGTGGGGTTAATTTCAGGGATGCAAGACTGGTTCAATACTTGACAGTACATCAACGTAATCCATCATATTAATAAGCTAAAGAAGAAAAATCACACAAACAATTCAATTGATACAGAAAAAATATTTGACAAAATTCAATACCCATTCATATTAAAAAAAAAAAAAAGTCTCAGAAAAATAGAGAGGGGAATTTCCTCAACTTGATAAAGATCATCTACCAAAAAAACCAAAAAAAAAAACCCTGCAGCTAACTCATACTTAATGTTGAAAGATGAAATGCTTTCCCCCAAGACCCAGAACAAAGCGAGCCTGCCCACCCTCACCACTCTTATTCAATATAGTGCTAGAAGTTACAATCAGTGCAATAAGGCAAAAAAGGGAAATGAAAGGATACAGACTGGAAATATGAAATAAAACTGTCCCTATTCACAGGCAACATGATTCTCTACATAGAAAATTCCAACGAGTCTACCAAAAATATATATATATATATAAAACACCTAGAAATAGTAAGTCAGTTGAACAAGGTCATAGAATACAAGATGAACATACAAAAGTCAACTGTATTTCTGTATGCTAGCAATGCACATGTGAACACCAAAATTAAAAATACAGTACCATTTACAATCACTCAAAGAATGAAATGCTTAAATGTAAATCTAACAAAATATGTGCAGGACATATATGCTGAAAATTATAAAACGCTCATGAAAAAAATCAATGAGAATTTAAATAAATGGAGATGCATACCCAGGTGTTCATGGATTGGAAAACTCAACGTAGTAAAGATGTCAATTCTCCTCAAATTAATATATGGCTCTAACACAATTCCTATGAAAATCCCAGAAAGATTTTTTTGTAGATATAGACAAGATTATTCTAAAATTTATATGGAAAGACAAAGAATTAGAATAGCTAAAACAATTTTGAAAAAAGAATAAAATTGAAGGAAAGGGTCTACCTATATTCAAGATTTATTCCATAGTAATCAAGACTATGGTGTTGGAGGAGGGATAGGCACATTGATCAGTGGAAAAGAATAGAGAATCCAGAAATAGACATACACAAATATGCCTAACTGATTTTTGACAAAGATGCAAAACCAACTCAATGGAGGAAGCATAGCATTTCCAGCAAATGATGCTGGAGCAATTGGACAACCACAGGCAAAAGAATGAACCTTGGCTTAAGCCTCAAACTTTACATGAAAATAAACACAAAACAGATCACAGATTTCAACTTAAAACCCAAAATTATAAAACTTTTAGTAAAAAGAAAAAAAGGACAAATTCTTTGGTATCTAGAGTTAGACAAAGAGTTCTTGACACCAAAACCATGACTTAGAGAGGAAAAAATTGATAAATTGGACTTCATCGAAATTTAAAACTTTTGCTCTGAGAGACACCAAGAGATGAAAAGACAAGTTACAATGTGGGAGAAAATACTTGCAAAGCACATATCCAACAAAGAACAAGTATCTAGAATATAGAAAGAAGTCTCAAAACTCAGTGGTAAAAAACAGTCCAGTTATAAAATGGGCAAATGACGTAAAGATTTTACCCAAGAGGATACAGCACAGATGGCAAATGGGCACATGAAAAGATGAACATGATTAGCCACCAGGGAAATACAAATTAAAACCACAGCGAGATGTCACTACACATCTATCAGAATGACTAAAAATAAAAAATTATGACAACACCAAATGCTGGTGAGGATGCAGAGAAACTGGATTCCGCATACACTGCTGGTGAGAATGCACAATGGTACAACCACTCTGGAAAATAGCTTCCTAAAAATCTAAACATACACTTATAATATGACCCAGAAATTGCACTCCTGGGCATTTTTTCCCAGAGAAATGAAGCCTTGTGCTCACACAAAAAACCTGTATATGGATGTTTATAGCAGGGGTTGTAACAACCCCAAACTGGAAACAACCCAGAGGTCCTTCAACAGGTGAATGGTTAAATGAACTACAGTACATCCATATCATGGAATACTACTTAGCAATAAAAACGACTGAAGTTTTGATATATGTAAAAACTTGGACAAATGTCCACTTTCCTCCTTTGTAACAAGGAGGAGGTTGTCTCAAGAGCCTTCCCGTTTGGGAATTCAAGATACAGATGAGCAGAGTGGGGCAGGATGAGAGCATGTTTGAAAGAGCTTAGGGATTTTATTTTACTTTATTTTTTAGAACTTTTAGAGATTCAAAATAATCAGAAGGAAGTGGCTTGATGAAGGCCAACTGTCGTGCTTCATGGGAGCCCATTTTGGAAGCTGGGAACCCAGGAGAAGGGGAGTTTAGGGTAGGTGCATTCTGTTGGCACAAGACGAAGTCTGCTCAGCCGTAGTGAACTTTAAGGTTGTTGCTTTCTCACACTGAGATGGGACAGGGTGGATTTGAGGCCTAAACTGAAAGGATTCTGTGTTCCCAGGAACATAAGGAAATATCTTTGTTCTGATACACAAAATTAAGCGTTCATCAGTCAAGGCAACTAAAGAACTGGAGAGAGCCACATTGCCTCCTGAACACTGGGAGCAATGACAAGTCCAGTGTCAGAGCACATTCAGCTGGTGTAACAGTATTTGTCATGTGATTCTCAAGCACGACCAGTGTCTGCATTGTGTTCAGGCTAGGAAGTGAAGTACACAGTTCAGGGTCCACGAAAACCTCCACAAGCTCAGTTGCTGCACATAACGCACAAAGGCGGGATTTTACATCCGGGACAGGAACCCCGCTAAAACCGGAAGCACCCATTGCTACGTGGTCTAATGGGGGCATACGTAGGGTCTCCCAACAGCCAATCCTAGTGCCAGGAGTGTTTAGGAGGCGTAGCCGTGGAGAGACAGTGGCCAATGGCAGAGAGGTCCGTTAATAGAGTGAGGGCAACGGCGGGTGAGGGGAACAGAGTACAGCCGCCAGGGGAGGCTGAGGAGCTCTAGCCAGTTCGGTGGTCAGACTGTTGACGTGAACTGTAGCGGTACTTCAGCCACCAAACTTCGATTCTCGCCCGCCCTTAAACATCATGGGAGATTCACAGAGTGAGCATCAGCGGATGTTACGACGCCACAGCCGCGAGAAGACAGAGCTGCAGGCCCACATTCAGGGCATGAAGAGCTTGATCCCCAAGAGCGACAAGAAGAGAAGAAAGCAGTTGCTCCGCGATGTGGCCCGCCTCGAGGCTGAGATGGAGCAGAGGCACCAGCAGGAGCTGGAGCAGTTCCAGGAGAGTTTCCCTGATAACAGCAGCCTCGATTCTGTCACTGAAGATCTGGCCAAGCTGGATCTCGAGAACAAGCCTCCTCACCTCTGGAGGGCACAGAGAAAGCACAAAAGAAAGGAGGCCTTCAGGAGAGAAAGCCAGGAGAGGATGGCCAAGCCTGAGATGGAGCATCTGGCCAGCTTGCGCCATGACGAGGAAATGAAGCTCGGCGCCATCCTGCGGGCCAAGAATCTGGAGGTGAAGGATATCCCGGCCGACGACCACTGCATGTACCGCGCCATCCAAGACCAGCTGGTGTTCTCCGTGACCGTGGGGAGCCTGCGGAGGCGCACCGCCGAGTACATGCGGAAGCATGTCGACGACTTCCTGCCCTTCCTCAGTAACCCCGAAACCGGCGACGCCTGCAGCCGCGACGACTTCTTCATCTACTGCGACAACATCATGTTCAGCGCGTCGTGTGGAAGCCAGCTCGAGCTGAGGGCCCTGTCGCACGTCCTGCAGACCCCCATCGAGGTGATTCAGGCCAACTTGCCCGCCGTCGTCATCGGAGAGGAGTACACCAAGAAGCCGCTCACCCTGGTCTGCAAGCACTACTCCTACAGCTGTGAGGAGCACTACAACTCGGTGAAGCCACTCGACGCCGGCTCCGGCGGGAGCGTGGCCCGGCGTCTCTTCTAGGCCCGCTGCCGCCATCGCCGTGGCGGCTGCCGTTGGAGCCGAATCTGCCGCCGCCGCGTCTCCTCAGCAGGCTCCGCTTTTTTCCTTCGGTTTTCTCAGGGTTTTGTTTATTCATTTTACTTAGAGTTCACCCCCTCTCTCCTCCCCCGCCCCCCCTTCTTCCTTCCTCGCTCTTCTATCCTCCTCGATCGTCCCTGGGTTGCTTCTTTCACGGGGTAGGGGGACCGGAGGCCAGTGACCAGGAAGAGATCTGTACCGTCCTACCCTAGCGGAGTGAGTTTGCCAAGTTCTCACCTTTCTTGCCCTGAAGGGTCTCTGCGCCCCAACCCATGAGAACTGGTCATGTTGCAAGTGACTTTGGGGTTCAAAAAATGGCAACTTAGTTTGATGCATTCTTCACTTGGGGGAAAAAAATCAGTTTAGCTCAGAATCTTCCGGTTGCCCCGTGAATGTATTCATTACTTAAAGTTGAAGTTGATGTGAATGAAATGATTTGGGAATGCCTTTTGCTTGGAAAAAAATGTATCCTGGGCTGTTTGGGTGTTTTGCTTTCCACTTCAACTGGGCTACTCAGGAGACGTCTCAAGTTACAAACAAGACCTCCTCTAGTTTTTTTTTTTTTTTTTGGTTGCACTTGGTCTTCGTTGCAGTGTGGGGGCTCTAGGCGCACGGGTTTCAGTAGTTATGGTGTGTGGGCTTAGTAGTTGTGGCTTGCAGGCTTAGTTGCTCCGCGGCATGTGGGGTGGGGTCTTCCCTGACCAGGGCTCGAACCTGTGTCCCCGGAATTCTTAACCACTGAGCCACCAGGGAAGCCCTAGTATTTTGTTTTGTTTTTTCATAAAACCTTGTATGGTTGCAAATTAATTACAGTTGTTTAGATGTTTCCTTAATTCTAAATAATTTTTGTTAACTTTAGAAGTTAAATGTAAGCGTTAAATGTAGAAAGTAGATTTACCTAAACTGATAGGCTAGATAAGGCTTGCTCTAAGATGTGAAAGATCTCAATTTAATTTCCTTTATTAAATATAAGAAAGGACATGACTTTATTCAAGTAGTTGATTCATTTCATTATATCTGCAATTGATGTGAAGTAAGAAGAGACAAACTGATAGGTAGTTTAACTTACTGTGAGGGGTGACATCAACTAGTAAGTTTCCTTTATTCTCAGACATAAAAGGGTATAACTTTGTTCAAGCAGTTGGTCCACTTTGTTCTATCTACAACTGGTATGAATGTGAAAGATCTGAACTTAGTCGTTTTCCTTAATTCTTAGAGATAAAAAGTATTTAAAGAGAGATTTTAAAAAGCATTAAAGTAGTTGATTCATTTTGTTATATCTGCAACTGGTATGAAGCAAAAAAAAAAGTGAGCAATAAACTTTTGTTGATATTTGAGACTTGTTGATATCTTGAATTTGCCAAAAAAAGTAAAAGTGAAATGATTTGCAGTAAACAATTAAAAAACATTTAACCTTTAGATCCTGTATTTCAGTGAGATTACTTAAATTCATTTAAAAATTCTTTGTACACACCAAATGTTCTAAAATAAAATATACAAAGGGGAAAAGGGGAACAGTAGTTTGTTTAAAGAATAAAAGCAGTTTAAAAAAATACCTGGTTTTCCATTTTTGTATAGCTGACTTAGTTCATATAGAGTTTGTATCCCAGGATCGACTTCAGCAAAGGAATCCTGGAGGGTTAGGGAGCAGGAGTGAAGGGGGAGGACACAGTGACAGATGAGGCTTTTGGAAGGAGGAATGGGCCTGAAGTCTTGGTGGTGGCCTAGAGTGGAATATCTCCCAGGGAAGGATTTAGAGAGTAACAAGATAGTTGAAGCTATCCTGAGTTGATGTTTCACTCAGTGAAAACATCATGAAATGGCTTCAGTTAAGGATGTTTTCATTGCTATGCATGAAAAAGAATTCTCACTTTCAAAAACTTGCCAGTCCAGGGCTAGTTGCAGGAGGGAAAGAAGTGCCACTGTTTTTTTTTTTTTTTCTTGAAGGCACGGGGTGGGGTGGGGGAATCTGTTTTCAAAATACAAATATAGAAATCCTGCCAGATAGCTCACTGTGTAAATGTGCGCATCAGATACACTGTCAGATAGCCAGCTGGCTGAGAAGAGGAAGTCCCTGAGAAAACTAGGTATTTGGATGCATTGTGAGAAGAGGGCCTTTTATAGGGATGAGAATGCTGCCTGGGGAAGGAAGAATAGGCCAGGAAGGGAGGCATAATCTGTAGAAGGGGGCCTGGCTGGGAAAAGTGGTGAAAATTGGGGAAGGGGTCAGTCTAGGGGGATGAATAGGACATGGCAGGGGAAAGGGGAACAGGCAGAAGAAGGGGAGACGGCTAGGTAAGGAGACTTGTGTGGACTGGGGCACAGGGTGAAGAAGGAGGCCAGGCTAGGAAGGGGATAATGGAGTGAGGGCTGCTTATGGAAGGAGGACCTGGCTGGTCAA